CTATGGGTCTGCTATCCATGTTGTTGTTATCTTTCAAGTTTTGTTGTTCTAGAATATTACTTGTTTGCATGATAGATTTAGGGTGACCGTATATTTTCTTGCTACTGCTTACTATTACTAGTTTATATTGATTTAGTTTGGCTTTGATTGCATATTTCCTATAGTAAGTTGCCATTAGGGTAACTGGCACAGATAAAAAATTTGGCATGCCACGTGGCATGCCATTCACTAAAATTTGTGCCTGAGTGCCACCTCTGGCATGCCATAGGCATGAGCCATATTACATGAATAGAGGTCAGAATCAGTTGTAAAATTTAAAATCTGAATTGTTTAAATACGATTATGAAAAAAACCGATTTATGTTAAACCGGACTAGCTTAAACCGAATTTAACTTGAATCATTAGATAAATATTTTGCTAAAAAGAAAAACCTGAAATTATTTTTTTTATTATATTGGATATATTGTTATTAACACATAATTTTGAAATTTGATAGAAAATAAATAAAACTGAATGCTAATTTAAAACTGGCTTGTCAGAAGGTTACAACTGAATTAGAATATTACAAAACGATTTACTATTTAAACAGGTTTAACCGAAGTTGAAATTGAATTTCATAATTCAGTTCTGACCTCTATACATAAATATCAAATTTTATGATGAAATAATGATAACTTTTAAGAACAAAATCGAAAAATTGTAAAAAATATAATTTTTTTGAAGGCTGCTTAAGTAGATCAGATAAGTTTATTTAAAAAAAAAAAAACTTGCGAACGGGTTATTTGTAGTTTTAAAATTGCTTGAAGTTTAAGACTAGATAACAAATATAAATTTTTTTATAATTATTTTTTTTTTTAAGTTTTTTTTTCTTTTTTTTTAAGTTTTTTAAGTTTTTTTTTTTTTTTTTTTTTTTTTAATACTTTTTTGTTTTAAATTAAACTTTAATAATAACTTTTATAATATGTTAGAAAACCCATGTTCGCAGACTTTGAACAATAAACAGCAAATCAAGATTGGAAGATATCATCAATTGACCAATCATCATTAATGTTGGTGCTTTGTTGAGAATGAGAACCTTCTTCAGTTGTATTCTGTTGTTCAAAGATATTAAAATCAAAAAACTCTTCTATTACTGAATCATTATCATGCATATCAAAATCTGGTAATTCAACGTCAACTTGTAAAATCTCATCTCCACTAAACTCTTCAAAAAAAATATCTACATTAGCATTTTCTAAGTCTATATTTGTAAATTGGATGAAATCTGATTCTTTGTTTCGGATTTTTTTTTTAATATTTCAGGTAATTTTTGTTGAAGGTCATGATGGAACATTCCAAACATTCCCATTATGACAGAAGACATTCTATTTCTTGACTTTGTTTTCACTAAACCCAAGCTAGAAAATAGATGTTCAACGGCTGCTGTATGTAGAACAATTGCAAAGATCTTTATTGCAAAACATCGAAGAAATGGAAAGCTTCCAGAGAATTGAGCCCAAAAAACCCTTGGATTAAAGTTTTCAGTATTTGTATAGGTATTCAAAGAAAAATTTTTATAATTTATAAGTTCCTGATATAAAAGTGTTGTTTCATTTTTATCAAAATTCCAGAGTTTTGCTAACTCTAAGATAGCTCTAATAATCGAATCTCCAGACATTTTTTTTGACATTGCTATTTTTTTATAATTAGGTGATAGGAAAAGTGTAATAAAGTAAATACTATCAGAAAACTCACAAGCACGCTTATCAATAGCTGCCAATGCATGATGTTGGAATCCAAATATTGGAATATTTAAAGAGGAAATAGTATAATGAATATTTATTAATTCTTTAAAAACATTAGCTAATGTAGCGTCTCTTGATTCAAGGCGACCAATAGCATCTACAACAAGAATAAGCACAGATACTAATGTATCATTATTAGCAAAGTAGTAACGATTGTTAATTATATCTTGAATTTCTTTTCAAATCGTAGGATAATCATCAGTTTTACTTAGAGTAACACAATACTGAAACTCTCTTTTATAAGTTTTTATTCCTAGGCAGACTTTTGCAAGAGAATACTACCTAGTTTCACAAAATGTCGTAAGTACACAGTTTATTCCTTCTTTTTTTCCCCAATCTTGCAATGCACAGAACCAGATATGAGAGGACGTAAAAAAATTGATAAGTTTTTGATTATTTTTAATGATTGAAACTAAAGGAGGGAAACCAGAAATATCTTTTGCAAGTAGATTGAATGCATAAAGACAACAACGGATAGGAATAATGTTTAGATAGATGCTTTTAAAGTCATTTTTCATTTTAACCATA